GTCTATCATTGTTTTACTTGACTGGAGCTTCCTTCCTGGTCCCTCGAGAGCGGTTCTTACCCTTGACTTCCCTCAATTCCATACTGGTTATATTTCTAATCTATGCGATGCCAGTGCGTTGACTATGATTTTTTTTCCCCTTCCGCAAGAATACCAGGATGATGAGTTCAAGTTTTTTTGTTAGCCTTTAGTAACTCGTGTGCCTTCATGCGCTTCTTGTTTGAACATTCCTTATCACTGAATCACAGTATGTGAGTGACCCAGCCCCCCCCTCCCCCCACCGCTTGTCCTTTCTCCTGTCCTACCAACAACTGCCCACAAGCCAGGGGTGAGGGGGTTCTCCAGGCACTGGTGATCTTCTCCCCGGGATCAGCTCACAGCAGGACCACATGGGTCACGTATGAATGCAGATTCTTGGCTGCAGACAGAACCCCCGTGAGGAGGAATTTGCACTTTGGGGGGCTCCCGAGCCTTTCTTAGGAAGCCCAGGGGGGCTACTCTAGCCATACTTAGTTTGGCTGGGCAGCTCAGTGGTCTGACCCCGTGCTGCTAGGGGCTCCAGGAGTACTCCCTTCTGTGCTCAGGGAACTACAGGTGCCAGGGATCGAACCTGGGGCTTTGAGCCTGGCAGGGTCTCTGCTCTAGCCTTTCGAGTAGCTCCCTGGGCCTCCATTTTAGTAAAGGTAAAGGCCCTCCCGTTGATCGTCGATTTGCTCGAGCGGGCCCAGTAACGTCTCCATTGGAGACTTTGTTGTTACTGTGTCTGGCATATCGAATACTCTCGGTAGCTTGCCGGGCTCTCCGAGAGGGGCGGAGGAATCGAACTCGGGTCGGCCATGTTGGCCGCTTGTAAGGTGAACGCCCTACCCGCTGTGCTATCTTTAAAAAGAGGTGTTTTTTTTTTTCATTTAAAAAACCAACTTTTAATCTTCAATTTTATTCTTTCCAAGATTATGGCATTTTCATTTTTTTCTTTTAATTTTTATTAGTGACAAACCAAGAGGTACAGTTATAGACTTACACATTTTTGTGCTTGGGTTTCAATTATACAATGATCAAGTACCCATCCCTCCACCAGTGCCCATTTTCCACCACCACGGGTCCCAGTGTTCCTCCACCCCCCCTCCCCCATCCCACCCTGCCTCAGTAGCAGGGCATTCCCTTTTGTTCTCTCTCTCCTTTTGGGTGATGTGGTTTGCAAAAACGGAATTGAGTGGCAATCATGTTTGGTCTATAGTCTACTTTCAGCATGCTTCTCCCATCCTGGGAGGATCCTCCCAAATACCCTTTATTTGGTGCTCCCTTCTCTATCTGAGCTGCCTTTTCCCCTAGCATGTGTGACTGGCCTCCAAGCCATGGAGTAAACTTCCTGGTACTTATCTCGGCTATTCTTGGGTGTTAGTCTCCTATTTTGTTACTTTATGTTTCCCAGATGAATGCAATCTTTCTATGTCTATCCAAAAGGTGTTATTTTTGATCTACATTTCGCAGCACTCAGGGGTCACTCCTGGCTCAGTGCTCAGGAATTACACCTGGCGGTGCTCAGGGGACCCTATGGGATGGTGGGATCGAACCTGGGTCAGTGGCATACAAAGCAAGCATCCTCCCCGCTGTCCCAGCCAAGTGCTAGGGCCCTTGGATCTGCGCTGTGATCTCAGTGACTGCAGGACCCTTGCACCTGCCCCTTCTGAGCACTTCTGAGTGCTCTGCTGTCATGGCCAGAATTAGCTCCTGTGTCCAGGGCCACCCCCCCACCCCCACCCCAGCCCTGCCCAATGTGACTCTCAGAATTTGTGATGGAGGTTCTGCCATAGAGGATGTCTGAGTCCCTGGCTCTGTCTGCGGAGCGCCCCCCAGACGGGACTCTCCTCCGTCCCCTCACTCTGCCCTCGAGAACAACTCAAACAAAGCCCTCCTCGGCCAGGGGACCTCGCTGAGGGGTCAGCACAGGCTGTCCTCTCTCAAGGCCCGCGTGCTGTGTCTTGCCCTACCCTGCAGGAATGTGGCCTGCCCGGGCCAGAGCACTGCCACAGAGTCTCGTTATCAAAGAGCCCATCTGCTTTGTATTTTATTTTTTGGAATTTTAAAATTTTTTAATTGAGTCACCATGGGACACACAGTGACAACGTTGTTCATGATTGGTTTCAGTCACGCAATGTTCTGGGACCCGCTTCTCCACCAGTGCACGGCTCCCTCTCTCCCTCTCTTTCCTATCTCTCTCATCTCTCTCCCTCTCTCTCTTCCTCTCTCTCCCTCTCTCGCCTATCTCTATCTCTCTCTGATCTCTCTCTCCCTCTCTCTCTCTCCTATCTCTCTCCCTCCCTCTCCTTCCCTCTCTCTCTCCCCATCTCCCCCCTCACTCTTCCTGCTGTACCCCTAACTCCAGCCAGGATCAGACGTCTGGTGGACAGGCCTGCGTGCAGCAGGATGGATTTCCCCGTGGGCTTTGGGGTAGAGGTCAGTTGTGGGCAGGAGGAAGCGGACTGAGGCTGGGAACTCTCTGTGCCCCCTCCCCCCACCCCGAGATCCTGGGCCGGGGAATTGCCCTCCTGCAGAGTTGCAGAGGGACCGGCCTTGGTCTTCTTGGAGAGGGGAGGCCGGGCAGTGGCCAGTGGTGGGAGGTAGCAGGAAGCATGGGGGAGGCCGAGGGTGCTGGGGGCTCCAGTGGCGCTGTTCTCTGTGTCCTGTAGCCAGAGCCACAGAAGAAGGGCAGCGCTACCCAACCCGGGAGCTGGAGTGTGGGTGGTCAAGGTCGGCCCTGTAGGAACCCACCCTGCAGACACGCTTCACACGTGGCGAGAAGGTGGGTCACCCACCAACAGCTGACTCACGCCCGGCCCCTGGTTACCCACTTTCTGAATACTATAGTGTTAACATGGACCCTTCCTTCCTTTCTTCCTTCCTACCCTCCCCCTCCCTCTCTCCCTCCCTCCCTCCCTCCCTCCCACTTTCTCTTTCCCTCCCTCCCTCCTTCCCTCCCACTTTTTCTTTCTCTTTCCCTCCCTCCCTCCCTCCCACTTTCTCTTTCCCTCCCTCCCTCCCTCCCTCCCTCCCTCCTTCCCTCCCACTTTCTCTTTCTTTCTCTTTCCCTCCTTCCCTCCCTCCCTCCCTCCCTCTCTCCCTCTCTCCCTTCCTCCCTCCCTCCCACTTTCTCTCTCTTTCTCTCTTTCTTTTCCTTCCTTCCCTTCTTTCTTTCTTTCTTTCTTTCTTTCTTTCTTTCTTTGTTTCGTCTTTCTCTGTCTCCCTTTCTCTCTCTTTCTTTATTTCTTTCTCTCTTTCTTTGTCTCCCTTTCTCTCTCTCTTTCTCTCTCTCTCTCTTTCTTTCTTTCTTTCTTTCTTTCTCTCTCTCTTTCTTTCTTTTGTCTCTTTTTTCTTTCTCTCTCTTTTTCTTTCTTTCATCTCTCTTTGTTTTTCTTTCTTTGTCTCTCTTTCTTTCTGTCTTTCTTTCGTCTCTCTTTTCTTTTTCTTTCTTTGTCTCTCTTTCTCTCTTTTGTCTCTTTGTCTTTTTTCTTTGTCTTTCTTTCGCTCTCTTCCTTCCCTTCCTTCCTTCTTTCTTTCTCTCTTTCTTTCATCTCTCTGTCTCCCTTTCTCTCTCTCTCTCTTTCTTTCTTTCCTTCCTCCCTTTCTCTCTCTTTCTTTCTTCTTTCTTTTGTCTCTCTTTGTCTCTTTTTTCTTTCTCTCTCTTTCTTTCATCTCTCTTTGTCTTTCTTTGTCTCTCTTTCTTTCTGTCTTTCTTTCATCTCTTTTTTTGTCTCTCTTTTCTTTTTCTTTCTTTGTCTCTCTTTCTTTCGGCTCTTTGTCTCTTTTTTCTTTGTCTTTCTCTCCCTTCCTTCCTTTCCTTCTTTCTTTCTTTCTTTCTTTCTTTCTTTCTTTCTTTCTTTCATCTCTCTTTCTTTGTCTCCCTTTCTCTCTCTCTCTTTCTTCTTTCTTTTGTCTCTCTTTGTCTCTTTTTCTTTCTCTCTCTTTCTTTCATCTCTTTTTCTTTGTTTCTCTTTCTCTTTCTGTCTTTCTTTTGTCTCTTTCTTTGTTTCTTTTTTCTTTTTCTTTGTCTCTCTTTCGTCTCTTTTTTCTTTCTTTGTCTTTCTTTCTTTCTTTCTTTCTTTCTTTCTTTCTTTCTTTCCTTCCTTCCTTCCTTCTTACTTTCTTTCTCTCCCTTTGAGCTATGTTCCCAGCTCAGTTTTGGATGTTTGGAGAGTGACAGAAATGGTTCAGTCAAAGGTAAAAATCATTAGCTCATGGACCAGAGAGATAGTCCAGGTGTTAAAGCACTTGCTTTCAATGCTGCTGGTCCAGGTTCCATCCCTGAAATCACTAATGCTCTCTCAAGCACTGCCAGGAGTGATCCCTGAGCACAGAGCCAGGAGTCAGTACCATGGAGTACCACTGAGTGTGATCCACCTGGCCCCCAAAAAACAAAATTAGACAGTACTGAAAAAAGGCAACCTGAAAATAAGTGTCATCTGCACTGTTGGTTGGGTTTGAACTCCAAGGCAGTTTTGTAGATTGAAAAACTTGGGTTTTGCTTTTCAGGGAGAGAGAAATTGGTGCTTGGGGGGCGGGGGCAGAGAACGATACGAATGTTCTGACTCTTGAGGCTGGACCCCCGGGATCAGCCTTCTGGGCTCCCCTAGCTGTACCCCAGCAGGAGGGAGAGATGGGGGAGTGGAAGGATTGTCATGAGACCCCCAGAGCCGTCCCTCTGTGAGGCATCGAAGGCCCTCCCGGACTCCCCTTCCTATGTGGAGAGATTCCAGGCTGTCCGTGACAGGGCCCGGGGATCAGAGTCACCCACCTATTCCCTCCTGGGGAGCAGCAGAACCTGCTTTGCCCCTTGTGGGGTCCTTTTGGGGTTTGGTTTGCTGGTTTGCGTGTTTGGGGGCCACAGCTCAAGGATTGCGCCCAGATGACGGTGGGGCCACACAGGTGCCTGAGCAGAGTCACACACTCCGCGCCATCTCTGCAGCCCGCCCGGGCCTGACCCATTGCTTTGCTGCTTCCAGATGACCCTCATGAAGCTGAGGCCGCTGTACGTGTGTCTGGTGGTGCTGGGAGCTGTCTGTCTGTACCTGAGCACGGGCAGCTTAACGCTGTTCAGGGAAGACCCTATCCACTTGCAGAAGGACCACGGCAAGTTCCTCCAGCTGCCGGTCGTGGACTGCGGGCAGGATGCACCCTTCCTTCTCCTGCTGGTCACCTCGTCGCCTGAGCAGGCGTCCACCCGCGACATCATCCGGCGCACGTGGGGCGGCATCCGGACGGCCCTGGGCAGGCCGGTCAGGTCCTTCTTCCTCCTGGGCAACCCCGCCAGGCCGGATGTGCGCGCCCAGCTGGCCGAGGAGGGCCAGCGCCACGGTGACCTCATCCAGAAGGACTTCCTGGACGTCTACTCCAACCTGACGCTGAAGACCATGATGGGCATACAGTGGGTCCAGCACTTCTGCCCGCAGGCCGACTTCGTGATGAAGACGGACACGGACATGTTCATCAACGTCCCCTACCTGGTGGAGCTGCTCCTGCAGAAGAACCGGACCAGCCGCTTCTTCACGGGCTTCCTGAAGATGCACGACTTACCCATCCGGGACAAGTACAACAAGTGGTTTGTCAGCAAGCAGGAGTACCCGGGCGAACGGTACCCGCCCTTCTGCTCGGGCACCGGCTACGTGTTTTCCAGCGACGTGGCGACGCTGGTGGCCAACGTGTCCGAGAGCGTCCCCTTCATCCGGCTGGAGGACGTGTTTGTGGGGCTGTGCTTGGAGCGGGTGGGCATCGTGCCCGAGCCCCTGCACTCCCAGCAGACCTTTTTCCCCGGTGGGCTCCCCTTCTCGCCTTGCCGCTTCCGCCGGGTTGTAGCCTGTCACTACGTGAAGCCTCAGGACATCCTTAAGTACTGGGATGCGATGGAGAGTTCCCGGGGACAGGAGTGCCCGCCGTGACGTGTCCCTGGCTTCCGAGCTGGTGGTTCAGGACAAGATCTCCAGATGGGGAGCTGGTGACTCATTGGGCCTGAGGGTGCAGGGGGCGGGGCACCCTTTGTCCCGGGAGGGGGGGGTGACTGCCCTGCCGCTGGACACGAGGATGTGAGCGCCCCCCACCCCATGCCCATCCTCTCTAGGAGAGCAATGAGGGTTTGGGGGCTTCTGCACTTCCTTCATCCAGGGTCACATCCATAAATGGGGCCATCATCCTCCCCCAGGGGAACCAATAGAGGCACAAGAACTTGTCCCTGGACCCCCGACCCCCCGAGGGCTGGAGCAGAGGAGGAAGGCGGGGCTGTCAGTGGGCATCATGACCCGTCCACCTCCCCCCGGGCAGGGACTGGTCAGAGGGAAGCCTTGATCCTCACGCCCTCTGTCCTTTCCCGGGGGGGGGGGATGCCCTCCGCTCTCCTCCCTGCCCTGTGCTTGGTAGTGGGGCACTGTGCATGCCCGCTGGGGTGCACCCACCTGGACGCCGAGTCACTGTCCCCCCCCCCCATCAGGGCAGCCCAGAGCCCTCCCGGAGTCCCCGACAGCAGCTGCACCCTCGGGACCTCAGGGAAAATCTGTCCAGATGCCCCGAGCACATGTGTCTGGGCCCCACCTAGAGAGGCCTTTCCCTGGGATAGCACCTCTGAGGGAGCCCAGGGGGATCCGTAATGCTGAGATGCCCCCAAGGACTCCCCTGGACTCCCCTGGGTGCAGAGGGGGTGGTGGAAGGGGTGTTTATACACCGTAGTCATAAGTGCCCACTGTACTTGACGTGTGTAAAGAATTAGCACATTCATTGAATGTCGCCCATAGCGGGGGATGGGGGGGACACATGGTACCTCACATTTGGGCCCCACCAAGAGTGATCCCTGAGCACGCAGCCAGGAGTAAACCCCCAGGCACTGTTGGGTGCACCCCCAAACCCCCCACCCCCCATTTTTCCCAAGGTGGAGCAATAGCACAGAGGGGAGTGCGTTTGCCTTGCACACTGCCGACCCGGGTTCAATCCCTGGTGCCCCAGCTGGTCTCCCGAAGCCCACCAGGAGTGTTCCCTAAGCTCAGAGTCACTGGTAAGCCCTCAGCACCGCTGCAGGGGGCCCCCAAACCCCTCAGCACCGCTGCAGGGGGCCCCCAAACCCCTCAAAATGACTTTTTTCCGGTGATGCACATTCTCGCTACTCTTCACTCAGACATGCAGTGAAGATGGGTGGAAAGCAACCTCCTGGCGTGAGAATCCGGAGGGCAGTTAGCTTCATGCAGGGTGGGGTGGGGGGGGGGGCTCAGGGACGCAACAGAACCGGGCCAGGCGTGTGCCATGGGGCTGTCCCCCAGCCCCTGCCTCTGCTGGGGAGAGCCCGGCCAGGCACTCAGGTCTGCACTGACAGCAGCCTCTCTGGCTGCAGAGATCGGGGTGGGCCGGGCAGAAGCTGAATGGGGCAGGGCAGGGTTGACATGGCTATAGGCCCCCGCCCTGGGCATCGGTGCCCTCTGTCTCAGGGTTTGGGGGGTGGGCAGGGAAGGACATGCTGCTAAGCCGTGCAGACCACCCTGCCTCATCCCCCCTCATCAATTCGCACTACTGCACCTTCACAGGGTCTCTTAAAGGACCTTGTCGCAACCCCACACACAGCCCCTGGCCACTGATGTAGAAAGAGACAAGAAAACCAGACTCGGCTGGTGGCATCTGGCTTCTCTGCTTGAGCTCACTCTGCCCCTTAAGCGGACACGCGCTGGGGACACAGACTGAGCCACCCCTGGCTCCTTCTGCCCCCCCTCCCCAGTCGGCCCAGCCCGGTCTCCCCCTCCTCCTCCCCAGCTTGCCCTGGGACCTTCCCACGTCTCTGCCTCTTCTCGGCCCCTGTGTTTGCAGCTCATCTGGGCTCTCCTGGATGCAGTGTCCAGGCCTGTCCTGCTGACCACATGCACTTCCTGTCTCACCGACGTGTGCGGAACCGGGCCCAGCAAAGACGGGAGGTGCCTCCACGTCCTGGTCCTGTGCTGAGGGTGACTCCAGGGGAATGACCCAACTTCTGCCCCAGTTAGTCCCTGAAGGTGGAGCTCTGAAGTGGGCTCCGGGGGCTCCCAGCAGTGCTTGGGGGCCCTGGTCACGGCTGGTGAGCCCTGTGGGAGACAGGGGTGCCGGGACCCAGCTCAGGGGCCAGTGCTCTCCCGGCCATGCTGCTCTGAAATGGATGTTTAGTTTCTGGGGTTTGGGCTGCCCCTGGTAGTGCACAGAGGTCACTCTTAGGGCCTTAGGGGACCCTCAGGGACTCGGGGGAAGGGATCTGGGTTGGCCATGGGCAAGGCAAGTGCCCTCCAGGCTGTACTATGACTCCAGCCCCCAAAATGGATTTTAAATGTAAACATGGATCATTTTCATGTCAATTTTCTCTGAGTCCCTCTTGCTTTTGTGCAAAACATGAAACAAAATAAGCTTATGCAGCTGTTTTGGCTTCCAAAATAAATAAATTATGAAAATTTTCTCTTAAACTGTAACCTACAGCTAATATTTTTTTTTTATTGAATCATCGTGAGATGCAGTTACAAGCTTTCATGATCGAGTTTTAGTCATACAGTGATCGAACACCCATCCCTCTACCAGTGTACATTTTCCACCACCAATGTCCCCAGCATCCCCCCCACCCCATTCCAATCCCTCCCCCCACCGCCTCTGTGGCAGGCACCTTCCTTTTTACTCTCTCTCTACACTTATGGGCATTATAGTTTGCAATACAGATACTGAGAGGCCATCGTGTTTGGTCCTTTATCTACTTTCATCACACATCTCCCATCCCCAGCGATCCTCTAACCATCATTGACATAGTGATCCCTTCTCTATTCCAGCTGCCTTTACCCCCAGCTCATGAGGCAGGCTTCCAGTTATGGAGCAGTATTCCTGGCCCTTGTATCTACTGTCCTTGGGCATCGGTCTCATATTATGTTATTTTATATTCCACAGATGAGTGCAGTCCTTCCATGCCTATCCCTCTCTCTCTCTGACTCATTTCACTTAGCATGATACTCTCCATGTCTATCCACTATTAAGCAAATTTCATGACTTCATCTTTCCTAATAGCTGCATAGTATTCCATTGTGTACATGTACCAAAGTTTCTTTAACCAGTCGTCTGTTCTCGGGCGCTCGGGTTGTTTCCAGATTCTGGCTATTGTGAACAGTGCTGCAATGAAGATACAAGTGGAGATGTCATTTGAACTGTGCCTTATTGAAATCCCTGGGATATATTCCCAGAAATGGTATTGTTGAACAATATGGGAGCTCAATTTCTATTTTTTTTTTTGCTTTTTGGGTCACAACCGGCGATGCTCAGGGGTTACTCCTGGCTCATGCACTCAGGAATCACTCCTGGCGGTGCTCGGGGGACCATATGGGATGCTGGGAATCGAACCTGTGTCGGCCATGTTGGCTGCGTGCAAAGCAAATGCCCTACCCGCTGTGCTATTGCTCCAGCCCCTCAATTTCTAGTTTTTTTTTTGAGGAATTCCCATATTGATTTAAAAAAGACTGGACCAGTTGGCATTCCCATCAACAATGAAAGAGAATCCTTTTCTCCCCGCATGCTCACCAGCACTGGTTGTTCTTGTTCTTTCGATGTGTGCCAGTCTCTGTGGTGTGAGATGATATCTCACTGTTGTTTTGATTTGCATCTCCCTGATGATTAGCGATGTAGAACATTTTTTTCATGTGCCTTTTGGCCATTTGTATTTCTTTTTTGAAGGAAGTTTCTTTTTATTTCTTCACACCCCCCCCCCCCCCATTTTTTTGATGGGGTTGGAGGTTTTTTTCCTTGTTAAGTTCTACCAGTGTCTTGTATAGCCTGGATTTTAAGCCCCTAGATGATGGATACTGGGTCAATGAATTTTCCCATTCAGTGGCCTCTTTCTGTATTTTGGTCTCTGTTTCTTTTGAAGTGCAGAAGCGTCTTAGTATAATGACCTCCCATTTGTTTATATTCCCACTTACTTGGTCAGTGCTGTTTCATCCTTAAGATGCCTTTAGCTTCAGTGTCATGGAGGGTTCTGTCTACATTTTTCTCCATGTACCATGTATTCAGGTCTTATATTGAGGTCTTTAATCCGTTTTGATCTGACTTTTGTGCTTGGTGTTAGACAGAGGTCCGAATTCATTCTTTTTCTTTTTCATGTAACAGCTAATAATTTTTAAAGAGACAGCAGGGAGTTGGGGAGATAGCACAGAGAGGAGGGCATTTGCCTTGCACAGGGCCAACCCAGGTTTCATGACTGGCACTGCCAGGAGTGATTCCTGAGCACAGAGCCAGGAGTAACCCCTGAGCATTGCTGGGTGTGACCCATAAACAAGATGAGAAAAAGAGGTGAGATGCAGAGCCATGGTACGGTGGGGAGGGTGTTTGCCTTGCATGCCATCGGCCTGGGTTCCATTCCAGGAATCCCATCTGGTTTCCAGAGCCTGCCAGGAGTGATTCCTGAGCACAGAGTCAGGGGTAAGCCCTGAGCACCACTGGATGTGACCCTAAACAAACAAACAAAAAAACAAAAAAACAACACAGAGAGGCAGTGTGTTTTAATAGCCCTAAGAGGATGTTTCTTAACCTGAGCCCACGTGCAGAGTCCTGGAAGGTCTAAACAAGCCTTTACAATTTGCCTGGAGAGAGACTCACAGCACTGGAGCACACACATGTGTGCAGAGGCCTGGCTTGCTCAGAAGGCTGCACACGGTTCCCCAAGCACTGTCGGGGGGGTGGGGGGTGACTGAGCCCCAAGCACAGAGCTGGGAGGTGATAGTTTGAAATCCGGGTCAGCAGTGTGGCGTCTTCCAAGGCATGATTCTGAATGTGTCACTCAGTTCCCGTCTGAAGATCGGAATCCCGAGGCTGACGTGTGGTTTTCCGGGTCAAGTGCTAAGTTGTGTCACATGCTGATATGCCTGTTCTTCCATCTCCGAATGCTCAGCGGAACCGTTCAGGGCCT